TGGGGGGTCCTCCTAAGGTATGACATGTCTCTAAACACTATTGTAACTGTTTCCATCTGGCCGGCAGCACTGAACGGAACAAGGCTAGCAAGATCAGGGCTACGTGCCTTGGAACAACGCGAACCAAATAAAGTAACTGGATTTTGGTAATCACCCCCCCCCCCCCCCCCCGCCTTCCCCCCCCAAAAAAAACAACGGACATTGGAACTGTCACATGACGATAACAGCGTCTAATTAACTCTAATTAATTGGGGGCTTGAGGTTTCCCCAATTTCCTTATTCCTTAATAGAACCGCCCATATAACGCCAGTTTCCTTTTCATTTTGCATTCGATTCTCCACAATTATACTCGGGGAGCACCATAATCGGGGAACATTATGGGGTTGAGGTTGCCAGACTCCTCTTTGAAGTACCCAAAACCTAACTTGCGGCCGCGGGGGGGGGGGGTGGGGGGGAACCAAAGCTTAGAAGCAGGGGTGCACACTGGCGCGTGCATTTTATCATAAAGAGGCGGAGCGCGCACGGCCTCCGCATACCCAAGAACGGCTTCCAACGTGCTTATAAATCTGCCATCTGCCGTCCCAAACGGCCTCCACGGCACCCGAAGCGGCACCCCGAAACCGCATCAAAACAGACCCCTCATCATGCCTATTTTGGAGGCCCGCGGGGGCCAACCCTCCTGCGGTGGGGTCTGGCGAACGAAACGCCAAATTTGACCTTTTTGGGGTCTTTCCCTTCCCCCACACCCCCTTAGCACAGATCAGCAGAGCTGGACTCAGACGAAAGCTTGGGAAGCTTTCGTGATGACGATCCCAAAGCATATGGTTCTGGTATGCTGGATCCTAAACCCTGAACTAAAAACCCTTTAAAAGCTTAAACCAAAGCCCGCTAACTTTAAACTCTAAACCCCGCAATCTTAAACCCTAAACCCTAAATCCTCTAAACCCTCTAAACCCTCAAGTCTAAGCACACTAAACCCTAAAGTCTAAGCCCTCTAAACCCTAAAGTTTAAACCCTCTAAACCCTCAAGTCTAAACCCTCTAAACCCTCTAGACCCTCGAATTCCCTATAGTACACCAAGCTCTGAGGGATCCTTGGTAGGTAAATATATTACTTCCCCGTAATAAGCCCATTATGTCACATTGCAATCATCTGTAAGCAGGTTACCTAAAACCCACTAGTACCCTAAACCCTAAACCCTCAACCTCTAGACCCTATATCCTCTTGGGACCCCCAAAGAGGTACACCACCCTCCCACCCTAAACCCTAAACTAGGGTCCCACAAAATAGCCCTCTTTGCCTGCATCTTAGGAATGCCTCGGGCCGTGAGGGGCTCCTTGGTGGTGCCGTACTTCCTGCACAAGAAGTAAGGGGAACCCCAAATAGAAATCCCAAATACAGGGAGTGTAAAAGGTTCAGGGTTTAGAGAGTTTAGGGTTATAGGGACCTCGAATAGAGGGATTATGAAAGGAGCAGGGCGTAGAGGGTTCAGGGTAAAAGGCTTGGAGGGTCTAGGGTTTGGGTCTATAATCCCAATAATGGAGAGCCAAATGGAAAGAACATGGAAAATGAAACGGAGGCTTGGAGAAAATTGGATTGGAATTGCCAAAAGAATGGGTACCGTTTTAGGGTCCCTATGATGCCACGGGGTCTATTTTGGGGTACTACCAAGCCGTCCAAGCTAGGTAGACTACGTAACACTATGATAATGGTATCTATAATCTTGAACTATAGAAGGATATCAGTTGTAAGCTGGTTATAACTTAAGTACTTTCCTACTTAACAGAGATATGCCAAGCTAAGGCACAAAGAGCCGATTTGTGAAAATGCTTTCTAGCTGATGCATGCTGCAAAGGGCTACATATAACAAGGAAATCAGCCGACATGGTGTGACGTGACACTGAACCCGCACAAGCCTCTCTGTATTGTCTTCGCAGACTTCTCCTGTCAGACGCTGTGCAAAGCGCAAAAGTTCTGGAACATACCCTCATTTGAGGATGCCTCAGACACTAGGTCACTAGGTGCTTCTTGCCAGCAGATGCAGTGGCCACATGCAATAGGGTTTATGGTTTAGGGCCTGTGGACTGGAAGATTTTTTTTCAGGGTAATAGGGTATATATTGGAGTTATATGGGGGTTATATGGGGATAATGGAAAAGATAATGGAAACTACTATATTATATTGGGGTTATATATTGGTTGTGTAATGAGTGACAGCTCGAAGCAAAAGCGCCTGACAGCAGCCAGTATTTGGTTGACTCTTCCTTCATCTTGTCGTACCTTCGGTGGAACTGGCAGTTCCAAGCTTTAAAGAATCCCTACAGGACCATATGCCCCAACATAATAATCCCCCTCAATTTCATCCCACTATAACCCCAATATGATCCCAATACAACCCTAATATAATCCCAATATCACCCCAATATAATCCCAATATAAAATCCCCATCACCTGGACCTGCTGCCCTAACTGGCAGACTGAAAAGCTGAGACATGCTGGATTGGGTTTAGGGTTTAGGGTTAAGGATTCAAATTTTGGTACCAAAGAGAATTGAAATTCGGGTATTTGGGATCTACAGCCTCAATATTTGAGCCCCTGGACCCTTCGGACTACATGCAGATGGAAGACCAATGCAACGTGTCAATTAATTAGAGGGTTACAAAGGGCATTTTCATAGGTTCAAGATTGGCCGCCGCGTCTTTTTAGAAACTCCCCCTTACCTTCTGTATCCCTCTGTACAACCTTCTGAAATTCCCCAAAGCTGGGGCACTTGACAACGCCTCCGTGGGCCTCCGCTATTCGTTCGCCTCTCAGGGAACAGATGTAGGGTCTCAAGCATGGGCCCCTAATATCGGCCCTTAGGCCTTTCAGAAAGATTCTAGGGACCCTGAAAGGAACATAAAGGCTAGGAACGTAAGGAAATGAAGGATCCCAGGCTTAAGGGCCGATGCTTAGGGCTGATGGCTTCAAAGTTTCTATCAGAGCTGCTGCTGGTCTGCTTGGAGGAGGGGAGAAGGGTATAGGGCCTCGATGATGGACATTTGAACTACCAGGATTAAGGGTTGAGGGTTAAGGGTTTAGGATTCCGGGTTTAGGGCTTAAAGCTACAGTCAACTTCCATTAGGGAGTATGTTGGGGATTACACTACTTCATCAAAAGGACATCCAAAAGAACCCCTACGTCAGCACTTAATGGTCCCTTAGCTCAAGTCAAGTGTTGCAAGTCAAGTGTTGCGCTGAGAGCAGTCCTCCCGCACACCCAGTATTTGTCACAAAGGTCCCTACATCAGCAGCATGAATAACCCAGACCCGTGATTGATAAACCCCTCCCCTTAGTAGGGGTTCTAATAGGGATCCTAATATTTAGGCCCATCAAGGGGAGGGGGTTTACATTATGCCAGTCAGTCCTACAACATGCTTCAACGACGCGCGGGGGAATCCTAGGCCTCTTGACTCTCTCTTCCAAAAGCCCCCAAATAGCCAAACGCGTGGGTACCATTCCTATAGACTTCATTGTAGGGCTCGAAGTAGGGGTAATAATACCCTAAACCCTAACCCTAAACCCCTAAACCCCAAACCCCTAAACCCTAAACCTCTAAGCCCTCAACCCCTAATCTCTAAACCCCTAAAGCCTAAACCCCTAAACCCTAAACCCCTAAGCCCTCAACCCCTAAAACCCCTAAACCCCTAAGCCCTCAACCCCTAGGCCCTCAACCCCTAAACCCTAATTAAACCCCTAAGCCCTCAACCCC